ATTCAATGAAACCCAAAGAAATAATCACTTTTTTTGTTGACAAAAATCATTTGTCATAAAGACAGGTATTCTGACATTTCCAGATCTTCAAAATCAAGTTCAAATACCAGCACTAGATAACAGTGGATCCTACGTCTGAAAACAGATAGCACCTGTATGTGATCTGTAGATGTGGGTGTTGCATGAGGTAGCCTGTTGACGTGGCGACTGAATGAAAGATTGGGGGTCAGATGAGAGGTGTTTCCTATCACTCTTTCTCTTTGTTGGCGTCATAGCCTCTGCTATCAGCCTGCAACGTGTTTCCCTCCCTCCCATTCTTACTAAGGCCCTTCTTAGTTTAAATGGCAGTGAGCTGGCTTTTATCTGTGCTTTGTCTTGCTGCCGGGGCAACACACTTTTCACTTCAGTATAACATTCTTAATCAGCTGTCGTCACAAAGCCGTTAAGAGTTGCAGCCTCACCCTTATACTGTAGATTATTCTTCTATGCTTATCAGTTCAGTGAGGCTGAATCCGAGGCATGACTGGAAGGTTGTGATAGCAAACACAGTAATACAACTCATATGTGAACGCATCTTAATGTAGACACAGTTAAAAAAACAAGTAAAATATCGAAAATATCAAAAAAAAGCTTTAGATGTGTATTTCTGTGTTGCTCCATTCGCCTTTTTTGAGTGCTTACCGTGTGCAGTACACAGTCACGTAGTCAGAGAGATTCCCTGGCAGGAGCAATGTTTTTGGCCTGGGTGCGTTCCAGCTAACCAGCAGGCCTGGGATGACAGGAAGAGGCTAACAGAGGTTAATGATTAGTCCCATGTTAACGCTGCATTCCATGGGGTGACGAGGGGACATGGGATACGGGACAGAGAAATAGAGCAGGCTTATACAGGACTCATGGTCATACGTTTGAAGTACAACGCAGAATAAAAAGCTGCGTAGCTCGACTCCTGTTCCGATAGATATAAACATACCGTCTCAGTTTTTGTCATGATTGAAACGTTGCACAACCTTTACTCATTAAACCTTCCCCATTATATTGTCACGTTTGTTTGCTTAACTGGCCAGACCTTGACCCATTTTTATACAGTGTTCTTATAATAAGTGACCAGCCATGACACATAGTAAACATATTGGACAAACATAAATGTGAGATTAGACGGACTGAACTAAACTTTCCACTGGAACACAGAGCCATTGTTAAATGAAACACCTTCCTCTTCCTACTGTGGGTTTATTGTCCTCTCTTGACACACTGATATTTTCTGTGTTGCACGCCCTCTTATCTCCTTCCTTACTTAATTCTCTAATGTCATGCCCATCGGCTCGTCTGTCTGTCTTCTCTCCTTCCCTCTGCTCCTCTGAAGGAAGCAGCTATGTGTAGAATCCTTCATCCCCCAGGAATCGGGGAAATCATGTCAGCAGATGACTGATGTTCTTTAAAGCTGCTTTTCTCATGCTCCTGTGAGACAGGAGACTGCACCAACTATCTATGTACCTTTCGATCTCAGTGTTCGTTGTTGCACACGACCACATGCTCACAGACATTCATCAAGCCATCTTTTGTCGTCTCCCCTCTCCCTTTCTCTCCCACCTGTCATCAGCCTCCATCCCATTCTTTGCGTGTGAGTTGAAGGCAGTGACTCCGTACAAGCGAGGCTTCTTCTGTGGAGACACCAGCATCACCTATCCCTACGTGCCGAGTGAGGCCATTCCTGACAGCCTGCTCATTGCTGGTGGTATAGCCATCACTGGCCTAACGGTAAGAAAGTAATAACCTTTAAGTACATTACAGAACGCTGCAGGGATTACATATTTTCTAGGCTAAGTTACCATCCCTCCGGTTCCCTTGACAAAAGCCCACCGGATTTTTCTATTGGATTTTGAATTATCGCAGAAATTGAGCTCTGTGCGAAACAAAGTTTTCACATTTTGTTCAGACAAATAATGAAATAAAAAAAACACCACATACGATTGCTGAAGCATAAATGTAATCAACAGAAGTAAAACCCTAATGTTAGGCTATAAAAAACCCACTTTTGCATGACTTCACATAACCACCACTTAGTTGATGAGTGTCTGTGTTGTCAGCGTGATTACTTTTAATGGCCCAGACAACCTCTGTAGCATGTAGCCACTTATTAGCAGCCACTTGCTTGCACATGCAAAAGCTTAAACATGTGGGTATTTACTGACGTATTTGATGTCAGAGAAAAGATCATGAACATCTCTTGGAAAGCTCTTGTTAACCTTAGACATTTATTCAGAAAACTAACCAAAAAAAACGATTTAAAAGCAAAAATATTCCATTTTAGGGGATGGAACAGGAAGTAGAAAAACGTATTACTGAGTTTTAGGTCTTGTTCATTCAGTTCTATTATTGGCACAGTGAGTTAATGTACTCTTCACTTTAAAAGACTACAACCTATATACTTTCGACTGTTCAAGTATTTGTACAGCTCCACTGTATGTCTTACGTTAACCCCTTTCTCTTGTCTTATTTCCTTCTCAGATCGCACTGGGTGAATGTTACCGTGTGCGTTTCCGAGGTGTATACTCACAGGCTTTTGTCAGAAACTGCTATGTGTCGTGCCTGTACAAGGAGCTGGGAAGCTTCCTGTTTGGTTGCTGTGTGGGTCAGTCTCTCACTAATATGGCCAAACTAAGTGTGGGACGCCTGCGACCCAACTTCCTGTCTGTCTGTAATATTACCTATGCGTCCATCAACTGCACTCCGGGCAGCTACGTGTCCCAGGACTACTGCAAACAGCCTAATGGCAAGATGGTGGAGGAAGCAAGGTAAAATGATTTGGTTTATGTACTGGGTGGGGTGGGGTATGAAACAGCTTTACTCATGGAGTGAATGTGTAACCTTCTGGTTCTTTAATTGATCTTCTCTTACAGGAAGTCTTTTTTTTCCGGCCATGCTTCCTTCGCAATGTACACCATGCTCTACTTGGCAGTAAGTCCCATCAGCTTTTGAAATACACACTACAATAAACTTATCTGGAATTTGACCTTCACATTCACCTGAGCTTGTGTTGCGTGATAACAGTATTTGGTGCTGTGTTTACAATGCTGGGGGAATTAAAGCTCTCAGTTTGACTTCAGTTATTAGAGAAAACACCAATCCCTAGAAGCCAAGAACACTTTGTGCAACTATTAACTACGTAGGCTTATTAAACATGCAAAAAAACACACCAACACATGTGTCGTTAAATACATTCACACTTCCTGATCGGGAGGGAGGAAATCTTTGAGAGCAGCAATTCTCCAAATGCATCCCGCTCCAAGCTGAAAGAGCTGGGAAGACCGAGAGGCAGGGAGGGAGGGTACTGAGGGGGAGTTAGAGAATGAGGGAGAATGTTTTTCCATGGGGAACATGAATAGATGAAGAGGCTACGCAGACAGAGGAGGCCTTGTTGTGGGTCTAATTTAGAGGGGGGGTGGAGGGCTGAATATGCCTGCTGAGAGATCGACAGGCTTCTTTCAGCAAGAGACACCCTCTCAACCCCCCCTCCTCCAATCTCTTCATCTTTCTCTCACACTGCACTGCCCAGTAGTCATGGGCGCATTGTGGGAGAAAAACGACAGTTAGAGGGAGACAAAAGCACATTATTAAGCATAAAATGTCCACATTCCCGAACTATTCCCCCCCATTAACCCTTACATTATAGCTTTAGAGACTTACATATCTTAATGTGAATAGATAAAATGAATGGAATGAAGTGAGGATGTTGCTTTGCATAATTCAAATAGGAGAGTAAAGAAAATCACTGCCTCCCCTATTTGCAGTTGTGCACTAAAGAAGTCCAATTGAAAAGCAGCTCCTCTCTGATAAGAAAGAGACTCACATTGATGAGCAGGGGGAGAGTGAATAAGAGGAATACAAAAGTAAAGAACTGAAGGGAAGAAGTGGTGTGAGAAAAAAGGGTCTCAATGTTGGTTACCCCTATTCCTCTCCTCTCGACATCTCACTTCGTTGTAACACTGCAGGCACAAACTCACAGCCTTGCATGCCAGTGTGCAGCAAGCAGACTGCAGACAACCTGGACATTGTGTCAAGCCTGTAGCTACACGCCACCCGCACCACCACCAGCTGCTAGTGTTTAAGAAGGTAACAGTGACACCTGCACTCAGCTGGGATAGGAGAGAGGGAAGGACCGGGTGAGCGCTGGCCTCACCGCTGGAATGTAGGCCACGTTCTCCCCAGCGGTTGACGGGTCCAGACAGACCTCCTTGTAAAGCTAGCCCTGTTTCTGCATCATGCTCGCCCTGTGACCCCATTTTTATAGACACAAACATCCATTCTGTACTGAGGCAGGAGATGAGGATGAACAAAAGGAGGAAATTGGGTTTCGACAGTGTTAATGGACTCGTGCCAAGCTCCTCTCTCCCCTCTGGGTAGCTCTGAGTGGATGTCCATGTTTGACACAAAGCCTTTGTCTGTGCTGAATTCTAAGATTATTTTATAGGCTTATGTTTCCAGGGCATTCATTATCCTAGCACCAGCACACATGTATTCACCTTTCTGTAGTAATCATAAAGTCAGTTACAATATAATAACATTATTTATCTTCTCTTTACAGTTCTACCTGCAGGCGCGGTTGTCGTGGCGAGGGGCTCGCCTGTTGCGCCCGTTAGTACAGTTCCTGTTAGTGATGATCGCCGTCTACACGGGCCTGAGCCGTATCTCTGACTACCGCCATCATCCTACTGATGTCCTCACAGGCTTCATCCAAGGAGGACTCACTGCATACTGGGTGGTATGTCCAAAATCTATGTTGTCTAAATAGTCCAGAATAACAGTTATCTCCGTCTTCACAGGATTTGTTTCTCTCAGCTCTCTGTTGACTGAGTTAGCTTAAACAATAGCCGCATTTTCCTCACTCTGATCCCTCGTGGTGTTTATAAACAGTGAATGATTGACAGCGTGTGTGGTCTGTGTATATTTTCTGACATGTTTGTGTCTGTGTCTGCAGGCCTTCTACATCTCCTCCATGTTTAAGCCCTGCGCCCGTCCAGACCTGTCTCCCACAAGCATGTCCCTGGAGAGTCCACTGTCCAGCCAGCAAACTGTCTGTTAGCAGGCACATGCAACCATCCCAGTAGTCAGAAGATAAGAGGGATTGCAGAAAGACAGGGAAAATGTTAGATAGGGAAACATTTTTAAAGAAAGGGAATCATTCTAAGAGAAGGATGTGATTAAAGAGTACAATCTAACAAATGGCATACTGATACACATACATTCACACAGTAATCTATCACACACTCACACGTGAAACACAAAAAAAGCACATTTGACTGTAAGTCAAACCCGTCCATTGAAAATAACTGCATAGCAATATTACAGTTATTTTTTTATATATGAAAAAAGTCTATTTTTAGGAGAACTTTTAGAAGCTGCTAATGTTAATAGTTTTCTTCTGTAATGGAGTTTTTTTTAGTCAGTGCAGTTTGTAAGCTTTCAAAGCAAACCTGATCACTCTTTGGTCCTGGGTGAGAGGGGAGAAAAAAACGTGAGGCTTCTTTGGTTTCTTTTCTTGGAAAACATCACCCAACAGCAGTGAACTGAGACCATTAGACCTCAGATGTGAAAACAGCTCTGTACCGAGTGATAAGGAACAAGCACTGGCTTCAACTTCTAACAATCTTTACCTTCTGATGCCCCACATCGCTATAATCAAGCAATAACCTGTACGTTATCAGTGGGAAGAAAAGTATTTGAGCTTTGATACAACGATATCTTTCCTTTGTGTAACCAAGGTAGAGATACAGAGGAGTCTGACCCAATAACTTACCCTTCCCACCACTACTTCTCTGTACTAACCACTTTGGCTGTGTCTCAGAGGGTGGAGGTTTTGACTGAAATGTTGTAACCTTTGACCTTTGCCCCTGGACTCCAATCTCTGAGCTGCACCTTGATTTATGCCACTCTGACAGGAGAGCCGACATGGCTGCAACCTCAGCCGCCCTCCTGTGGATTTTTATTAATAGCACTTGAACGTACATAATGGAACCTTCTAATTATAATCCATATTATATATTTTATCACATGTTTGAATAATCAGTGTTTATTTTTTTGTTAATGTCAGACTCATAAACTATATTTGTTTGTTTTTCTTGAAATGATAATTATTCAAATTGAATGTAAATAGCTATGTCCTTTTATAAACCACACAGAATTTCAAAAGTATTAGTTCCAGTTTTGGACAGTTTTACATGTTTATTAAGTGTTTGTATTTACATTTGTGTCAATCAGGTACGGAGAGTTACTATTGTATCTGTTGTAACTATACTAGACTGAGCCACAGATATTATCAGAAAGCTATATTTTATGTGTTCCCAGTTATTGTTGTTTGTTTTGTCTGTGAATGCCAGAAAGGCAGAAATAACCACTGTACTCAAAAAAGACCAAACAAATAAAATGAATGTTGAATGTTATTTACTTCTTCTGTCCTCTGTTCATTTTAGTTTCAGCAAAATTAAAAGTAAAGCCCAGCAGACACCCACTTAATGTCAATGTCACAGTATATATGTCATCTTGGATGGCTACTCACATGCACCAGAGATGGTGTTTAGTTAGCCATTTAAAAGTCAGTCACCAATGCAGCCATTATCTTTTTTAAAGAATACTAGACTTTGTGAGGAGGTAAAGAAATCTGGGCTGAAACAAAACATAAACACTGAAATGATAAGTGATTTAACCTTTTGTTTTGTTTGGAATACTCCACTGCTCTCCTTTCTTCTTTCATGTGTGTGTGTGTGTGTGTGTGTGTGTGTGTGTGTGTGTGTGTGTGTGTGTGTGTGTGTGTGTGTGTGTGTGTGTGTGTGTGTGTGTGTGTGTGTGTGTCTGTCTGTCTGTCTGTCTGTCTGTCTGTCTTGTGTGTGTGTGTGTGTGTGTGTGTGTGTGTGTGTGTGTGTGTGTGTGTGTGTGTGTGTGTGTGTGTGTGTGTGTGTGTGTGTGTGTGTGTGTGTCTCTGTGTGTGTGTGTTGTCTCTCTCTCTCTCTCATCCTTCTTCACTTTGCCCCTTCCCCGCTCTCAGTCCTTTTTGAGTGCAGTGGAGCATGATGGGCTGTTTCAGGGGGTCATGCTACCATGGAGATGCTTAGCTAGATACANACGGGTTAGTCTTTGGCTGGAGGCACGGTCTCAAACACATCTGATTATCACACCTCCCGACATTCCCGGGGTCGCGCGGGTAGCCGGTAGGCCTGGGAGTCTCCCGGGCCCTTCTCCGCTTCCGCGTAGTGCAGGCACCTCCCCCAGTTTACGTTTGACTGGGTGTTGGGGGGGGAGGGATGTTTAGGACACAAGGCGTGTAGTAAGCCCATTCGGGGCCGAGGGGGCTCTCCCCATCCGTCTGTGGGTGGGGGGGGGTCCCCCGGCACTGTTTTTTGAGCACACTTTTGGCGAGGTAAGCGCAGCAGGGTGTGCTCTGTCAGCCACAGCCCAGATTTCTCCTCGGTCACAACCGGGTTAAAGGAGAATGTGGGGCAGCAGCTGCTGACCAGAAAAGCCGGTCAGGGGCAGTAGGGTGGAATGTTGTTGTTGGACGACAGTGCACGTATACATCGGGGCTCCACCCACTGTACCCATAGAGTCCAGTAGAGGGCGGAGCCTGTGAGAGATCTAACGTTGGGTTACGTATTGTAACCCTTGTTATATTAGCACAGGCGGAGCCCTCTACTCAGGGCACTGTCTGTCCTATTCCGCTCGCTGAAGAGAGGTGTAGGATGATCTTCAGGAGGCGAGGCCTCCTTTTATACGGTGTGATGCGCACGCATTCAGGTAAGCCCGCCCAAGGCCGGCTACGTCTATAGAAGTCTCAGTCGGAGAATGCTCGCAGGGTAAGGTAGTACCCATAGAGTCCAGTAGAGGGCTCCGCCTGTGCTAATATAACAAGGGTTACAATACGTAACCCAACGTTTTTGCAAACCTATAAAATATTAGCTTGTTTTTATAACATATATGTGTTATGGTTTGCAGTCCTTTATGAGTAAGAAGTGGTGGTACATATTAACCAATCAATCAATCAATCAATCAATCAATCAATCAATCAATCAATCATTAAGCCAAGTTTTCCATTTGAATCTTGGCTAATGTCCATTTTCAGCCAATGATCAACGTTGGCCATGATGAGAGACACAGCTTTTCCTGTATCTTCCTTTTTCCATAATCTGATTCCATCTCACCTTCTTCTTCTCTTTGGTTTACCCAGCATCCTCGGTGTCCTTCTCCAGATTTCAGTGGGATAGCCGTTGTTCCAACCACCATGCTAGCTGGCTTTAGCTTGATAAGCTTCTCCCTGGGAGAAGTAAGTTCAAATAATAACATTTCAAGTTGAAAATAGTACCTCTCTAGCAGGAGCAAATGCCACAGACTGCATGCACAGTTTGCACATACACACTATAGTCAACTGCTGCATTGTAACTGATTTGACCAACTTCATTGTTGGGGGAGCATACAGAGGGCAGGCTGCCATTCAAAATCACAGGATATTTAAGCAATGATATCCTCTGTTTGATCGGTGAACCAACATTCTGAATGATAACAACCCGTCTTTTCCATCTTTGATGAAGGGCTATCTTCCTAATCTTCTCTCTCCTGCAGTTACCTTTCAGTTCTACTTCATCTTCTTCATCCCTTGTCCTCGCCTTTACCTCCCTACTGCCACCCCCCTCACTTACTGTCCTCACCTCCCCTCTCTCTTTTAATGGCCTTTGGTGTTTTTAAAGACCAGTCAGCAAAAAGACTCAAAGAGCCTGTGCTCTTCAATTTAACTTCATTACGTCCAATTAGGATCCTTGTCCTTCAGCAGGGTTCAGAGTGGAGCGGGGGTGATGCACCAGAGGCTGGGATTCACTCTAACATTGTTTTATGTCGAGCTTCTCACAACTTTATCGCTTCTTTATAACAATTTCATACCAATTTCAAAACTTAAAGGAGTAATACCACAGTGTAGAAATACTCTGTCAAAGTCTGGCATTCAAAATGTAACAAGAGCTAACTGTAATTGTTTTTATATGCTCCCATATATTTGAGTCCATAATAGTATGTCTGAATTCAGTAGTTTGTAATAAAAATATGAAACTAGTAACTCATCTTATCGAATAAAGGTAGAGTGTAGTGCAATATTTTCTTCCGAAGTTGTATGAGAGTAGAAGTATGAGGTGGCTTGAAATGGAAATATTCAAGTAAAGTACCTCAAACATGTCATACCACATACCACACAATGTTATGCTGAAACTCAACACTGACTCAATTCTGATACGAGACAAGTATTTGGCTTTTTCTGCTTCTTTCAGGAACATGTACCAAATGTATCCAAACCAACCCAATACGTGATGAAAACAGCCACAGCTCTTTTACGGCTACAGAGGCACTGCAGCAATCTCAGAACTCTGTTCCGCAGCATAGGTGAGATTTCCCATATGTCTTCATTTTGGGTCCGACTCCGCAGAAACCCGGCAGAAGTGAAGAGAGCGGAGCTGATGGATTGCACCCTGAGTCATGCATGACTTAGCATCTCGTTTCCTTTCCCTGCTCGCCGAGATGGAGAGAAAACGGCAACACAAAAAGTTTAATGAGCTCTCTGTTCTTTTGAGGTCACAGGTTTTTTTTTGCAGGTGACTGGGTTTATATATTCAGTAAAGACACATGATATGCTTCACTTTCAGGCCAGCTGTTCATTTCCTTCAATAGGTTTCATGCAGAACGGGACATTAATTACTCATAACTAACTTCATTTGCATTTGTCAGTTCAGATTTCCCAACGAATGTACCTATAAAACCTAATATTGTATTTACCAAGCAACACAGGCCAAATGCATTAAGTCCTGTGTAGATTCATGACTAAACTGTGATTATGTATCACACAAAGAAATATGCATACATGTATGCATTATTTCAATCAAGTTTCTAAAGCCTAGCATAGTAAAGCAAAGTGTATCCTGTTTCACAACATTTGTTAAGTTTCACAAAGGATGTATTTTTGGGAGAAGCAACACAAAAAAAAACGTCCCTGTGGCCTGGAAGCTCATACCACCTTAAAACATAACAATATAACACGTTTTTTCAATATACTTTACTATGACGTTTTTTTACATACAATGTTATGACTTTTATTACAACACAACGTATTAGCACTCTTTTCCCTAAAAACTGTATGGCGACTTTTTTCCAAAATGTGTCATAAAGATATACTGTGACGTTTCTTCGGCTTACTATATCATGACTTTTTTATGTTTTAAACGTACTGTTCCATTACTTATTTATCATACTTTGCGACAACATAAACTATGATTTCTTTTGACATACAATACTATCACTTTTTTAAATATTTTTAACTCACCCTACACTATTTTTCGACAAACTATTCTATGATTTTCTTTTCCATTATACTATGAATTTGTTTACATCCTTTACCATTTATTTTTAACATGCTATACTATAACTTATTTTTCTGGTATTTAGAACACACTATACATTCTATATGATAAGATAAATCCGTAAAGGTTTTGTCAGTACACCTTTAATGGCACACAAGCTCTATTTCTTCCAATATGAGTTTTCAAACCTTCATGGTTTTCTAAGTCAAAGACTTCCCGCAGAGCTTCAAAAAGCTTAATGTTAGAGTAGTTTCACTACTAAAGTGACATGTACAGGGAGGACATCAGAGTGCCTGTCAAGGGCCGAACAACCCTAAAGCCACCCAAGTATAAAAACGTTGGTATGGCATGCTCTTAAATGTGATGTTTTTGATGAATAAAAGAGCTATTACAAAAGAAGGCATGTTGGAAGCTTGACAGGGATCTCGCTGCTGCTCTCAGAGGATGTTCTTGCATCCAGGTGCAGAGTGAATGCATGAAAGCTGGTCGAATCAGAGTCTCTGAGCGAGTGTAAATGCAGCAGAGATACATTGGATCGGCTGGAGACTCCCAATAACCTTGTTAGAAGTTTTCTGGGAGAAAATGTATTAATAACTCGAACAAATATATCACGGTGCCACCATGAACCGCCTGCCGCACCCCCCACTCGTACCCAGATAATGACATTTCAGTGAGAGCAGATGAAATGGGACAATTTTCAAACTCATTACAAACTCGGTTCTGGAAAGGAATGAAGAAAGGAAGAAACAAAGGGAGAGAGAATAAAGAGTATAAGACGAATGATAAACATTGACACCGGCCTTGTATCTCTGTGTGTGTGTGTTTTATATATGCATACCTTGTCTGTGCCTTAAGGTGTCTACGCGGATGCTTTTTGCCTGCCTGTGTGTGTTTGTGTGCGTAGAAGCAGGCTTTCTTCAGACTGGTGTGATGTGTGTGTCCGTGGGTTATGTATGCTTTGAACGTACCTTTTTTTTTAAGTGTGTGTGCGCGCATCAGCTCAGCCCAAAGCCGGGCTGACAGACAGCTTCCCTCCGAGGAGCCCCTTAGTGTTTCTGATTGATCGTCATAATGCCAAGGTACAGGCCCTGTCCTTGGTGCCTATGCTAATCGCGGTCTCATGCATATTTATGAGCTCCTTGGGAATCAACCAGCTAAATAAAGGATGAGGCCGTTGGCTCCGAGCTGTGTTGATCGCTGACTCTGATTGATTGGAAAGAGAACAAATATCAGCGTGTATAAAAACTGTTGTGTTTTTATTTTCTCTTCTCCTCAGCTCAGGGATCATAATGGGAGTGCGTGGCTGTTAGAAAATAAAATAAAAAGTAGAGGCTCTTAAGATTCATTTGAAAAAAGTTGGTGAGAAGTTCCATCAGCATGTCATAGCTTGTATAGATCTTGAGCTTTTACTGTCGTTTTTATTAGTTGTGTACATCACAGTTAACATTGTGTTACCTAGCTTTGCCTCTAACGGCTCGTCCACACTACAGCTTCGACAGCTTCAAAAACGGTTTCCAACGCGTCTGCCCATTCACTTTGAATGGGGTGACATCACGTTGCCTCGCTTTTCGCCGAACTGAATTGTGGGTAGCAGAGCGGAGCTTTCCTGGCGTTTCAGGCTGCAAAAGTTGAGCAATGTTCAACTTTTGAAGCTTCTGAAGCTTTCGGTGGAAGCGTCAGCCAATCAAATCATATGCCAGTACAAGCTCTAGCCAATCAAACCGCTGCTTGTGTGTCAGGGGCGGGAGATTCATGTGATTGGTTGTTGGTCGAGCTTCAGACACGCCCGCCGGCAAGCTTTTTTTGAAGCTGTAGTGTGGACGGGCCGTAACTGATGATGGTGATGCTTTTTGCAGATGATGTGTTTCTTATAAGAGTTTGAAGCGGCTGGAATGAGGATCCTCTAAATCTGAGGCCATGGTTCTCAGCAGGAAACCTATAGACTGTTTACTCCGAGAAGGGAATGATTCCTTACCCAGAGTGAAGCAGTTGGAGTATCTCTTGGTATTGTTCTTGAGTGAGGGGACAATCGCGTGTGAGAGGGGCCAAAGAATGGTAGCAGCGGTATTGGGTCGGCAAACAGTTTTGAGCTGAGCCTTCCTTTCTACTCTC